TAGCAGAATATGATGGTCCACAGTATCAAAGGCGGAGGTCAGGTCCAACATCAACAGAAATGTTAATGCAGTGTTAGCATTGAATCAGGAGGAAGACGTATGGAGTCCTGATCAGGGTGCATTTGTTTCTATGGACGGTGAGTCTGGAATGACTCACTATTAGAAACAAAGGTCATTTTCACATACATCAAACTTTAATGACTGGGTCATTTGGAAAAACAAAACGACACGTGGCTTAAAGGTCCGTGCTCCTGAACAGACTTCGTGGCAGCTGCAGATACAAAGACTGAGTGATTAAAGCAGCAGGCTCTTCATCTCTGTGGTCCCACAGCGTCCTCGGGGAGTGTCCTCAAAGACAAACCACAAGCCAGCCACAACAGTGTCATCGCACACGACAGCCGTCCTCACAGCGCCACATCTGCCCCCAACAGTCTAACGGGACAAAGGATCCCCGATGGCGGCGGAGACGATCAAAGCCCCGCTGTCGACACTAGAGGCATCTACAAGATGCTGCTGACATTAAGAGTCACGGACATGTTTTGACACGGGACACTAAATGATGCCTTCAGAGGATAGACAGGTCATAATAAAGGATGGAAATATGACCAAACTGTGGTGCAGAGGAGTAAAGCTGTAATTAGCTGTGCGCCTCCAGCTGCTGACAGCTGGAATCACTGAAGCAGTGTTACTCTGACTGCTGGCTGCGTTTCTGTTTGTCTTCTTTGAGTAACACACACACTTTCAGAAAGAAAACATGAATCAGGAACAAGAAACTGATTCCTAAACACTAACTGTACTTGATTGCGTCACATGTTGAATTAGATCAGACAGAGAACGTGCTGCTGTGCATCAGCCGCTGCAGCCCAGAACCATGCATCATCATGCATGAGTCTCATCATGCAGCTCCTCTTACTGGAACACAAATCAAAACACTCTCAGTGTCTCTGTTTACAGTGATAAATGCATAGCTGGGGTGTTTAAACAGACTCCTCCAGGATGACCTGTTTCAGGATTAAAACAGTGAACGGGGGCAGAACGGTCAAATAAATGAGCACATCTTTATTTCACTGAAATGTGCAGTCATTCTGGAACCAGCAACCCTCTGTGTGTAAACCTGTGAATGTGCTGGTTACCCACCTGAGAACGTGGGGCTGCAGTGCAGGCCATCTCCGTGGAAACCAGGACGACACTGACAGGTGAAGGAGCCCTGTGTGTTGGAGCAGGAGGCCTCAGCGTGGCATCGGTCCTGCTGCTGGCACTCATCTACATCTGAACAGGCAGAAAGAACAGAGGCTCCTCACATTCTGGATCCTGCAGTACCAGTAATGACCACCAGATGGTGAAAAGTCTGAAAGTAGATCTTTAATTGAATGCTGCAAATAGACTATGTGCGCCTTAGCATGTGCTACTTCCGGCGCTCCTGCAGAGCGCTTCGTTTCCGGTGTGATATTCGCGCCTTGTTTACGCTTGGGTTTTCCAAAACAAGTCAACCAAATGGATGATTTACATTTCTCAAGGTGTCTCGGGCGTTTACCGAATATATCTGTAGATGATGTTCGTCAACTTGTCGATATTTCTTCCTCAGAGCAAAAGAGAGGAAGGATTCAAATTGTATATTTCTCAGTATTTGTATACAGCGGTCCCTCGTTTATTGCCGGTGTTATGTTCTAAAAATATCCCGTGATAAGTGAAATCCACAATGTAGCCACCTTTATTTTTTGCAGTTATTATAGATGTTTTAAGGCTGTAAAACCCCTCACTGCACACTTTATACTCATGTTTAAACTCTCAAAGTTCAAACCTTTGTAGAAAAATAAGTCGAGTATTATAGAATGAAACCAAAGATCAAACCCTGTTTTCAGCTGCAAGAGAATTCAACATTAATGAACCAATGAATCAGAAGTCCAAGTTTTAGTGTGACTGCCTTTTGGGTGCTACCGCAGGTGCAAAGCGTTTCGTCGACGTTGTGTTTGTTGGGGGAAACAAACAGCACTTCAGAGCCACACTGCCGGTGATCGATGCAGCGATTCTGTACAGGAGGGACGGCACAGAGGAGATCGTCTGCAGCGACCAGGACACGATGCGCTTAAAAAAAAAGAAAGAAGCGAGGCCGCGAAAAGTGAACCGCGTCACAGCGAGGGACCGCTGTAATTTTGAAGGTACGTCACAACATACTCGTTGTAAATACTCACAGAGACCCTAACCAGCAATCATTCATTTATTTGTTTCTGTGGCTTTTTGTTGTTGACATGCTGTGTAGGTGTGTACTTGACTAGCTGATATCAGCATAACGGGGAAACCTTTGACTAATGTTCTTTTATATTATAATAATAATAATA